TCCAGAGATGGAGGCAGAGACTCTAGACCCAGAAAGGGAGAGGATCTATGTGCTGACGACCGGAGGACAACCAACACTTAGGCTGGTTGATGATGCATGGATGGGACTGTAACCATGGCAATGAAACGATATATGATAGGATGAATGTAAAGCTAATGTTCTCCCATATAAACTATCACATAATTCACAATAAAACATTAAAAAAATAAAAATAAAAAAGCTACAACTTTGGAAATCTTATCTAGGGTTGCTATGAGTCTGAATCAACTCGATGGCACTTAACAGCAATATAGTTTAGCTGAAAAGTGATATTTGGATATGGGTTTAGTCCAGATTTTTAAAGTGTCTAAGGGTCATAATCTTAGGGGCTCCACCAGTCTCTGTCTTTTTTATGATTTAAAATTTTTTCTACATTTTCTCCCACTCTATCCAGGACCTTCTGTTGTGACCCCAATCAGAGCCGGGTACCATCTAGGTATAAACACACACACACCATAACTGATTAGATGTTAGACAAGGACATCTGATAAACTTGGTTTTCTAGTCATAATTGTACAATGGTAACACTGAGGCCAATGCTTCAGAAGGATGAAAAGATGCAATTCAATAGTGGAGCTGAGCCACTGTTCCATGCCCTACACCCATAGCCTGATAAGGAGTGCGTGGAGTAATGAATCACCATAGTGGCTAGGCTCTGAGCCCAGCAGAGTTTTGAGGAGAGCCTAAACTCAGTGGCTGTTTGTAGAAATAGGAATGATGTGGTGGTACCCAACTATTTCCAGGCTAGCAACTCAAAGTGACCATCAGCAGAAAGTGGCATAGGTCCCTCCTTGTCCACTGCCCAGATTCACAGAGTAAGTTAGTGTCTGAGCTGGATCTAGAGTTAAAGATACAGGGAAGTTCCCACTGGGCAGCCATGTGCTCCCTCTGTCGGGGAGTCCCCCCTCTGTTCTACTTACTATTCTCCATTTGAAAAGCCACTGCTTTTCTACAGGGTCACACCGTGGGCCTCAGTCTGTTCATCGGCATAAATTAAGGTGTTAGACTGGGTAACAAGCAGGACTCTAATATCTTCTGAAATCTTGGGATACAAACCATACTGCAGTGCAGCGATAGGGGTCCATGTCTCCACTGCAAGTCCAGGTATCAAGGGTGACAGATAAAAGGAGTTCAGTCACTTGGTGTTATAGATTGAATTGTGTTCCCTCAAAATATGCGTTGTAATCCTAACCCCTTTTTCTATTAATGTAACCCAGTTCAGAAATTGCATTTTCTTTGTTATGATAATGAAGTCATACAATGCAGGGTGTGTCTATAAAGGTGCTATGCCTTTAGAGATTGTATTGGTCAGAGACCATAGGTGCAAGTGCCAGAAACCAAACTTAAAGTCATTTAGACAGAAAAGGGAGTTTATTGGCTAAAATGATAGGGATGCATCATTTTCTGAGACAGCTGGAACCAGGACCTTAAGCAGCATTAGGGCTCTTTATCTCCCCTTCTATCTCTGCTTGTTTCTGCAAGCAAGCTTCAGTTGTTTCTACTGGAGAAGAGATACTGCCACCTGTGAATTCCTCAGGTGAATGCTTTTTTTCCAGGCAGACCCAGGAATAAGGAATTTTTCTGTCCCTAGGGAGCAGAGGAATGATCTCTTTCCTTCTCTGGGATTGAAGACTGGATTCCCAACACAAAGATTTCAGGTTAGGCTCCAGGAATTCATTCAACAGACAGGTATGGGGAAATCTACAATGTACAGAGTTCTGTGTGAGACACCACAGTGGGGCTGCGCAGAAATGATAAAACAAGAAGACACAGACAGTCCTATCCTGGAGATTTTGCACTTTATTGGAAGCACTTCAACAAGGTGACATGTTCAACTAAAAAAGGAGGATGGTACTATGGGCCACTGTCATGGATCGAATGTGTCCCTCTCCTCTCCCCCAACCTCAATATATGTCAGCTTGACTGAACTTGGTTCTCAGTGGTTTGACAATTAATATGATGGTCCCCATAATGTGATCTGATATAATAAATCGATAAGAGGATTCATCCCTGATTCAATGTAAGGAAGATTCCCATGGGTGTGGTACTTAACACCTTTTATCTCACAAAAGATAAAAGGAGAAAAAAATGAGCAGGGAAGAGGAACCTACTACCACCAAGAAAGAAGGGGCCAGGAATAGAGTGTATCCTTTGGACCTGGGGTCACTGCATTAAGAAACTCATAGACCTGGGGAAGATTGAAGCCAAGACATGTGGCAATCTCCAAGGAATTCTGGGCCTACAGATGCTGAAAGCAGACAAGGCCCTTTCTCCAGAGCAGTGCTCTGGATTTAGACTTCGAGCCTCTCAACTGTGAGAGAATATCGTTCTGTTTGTTAAAGCCATCCACTAAGTGGTATTTCTGTTATAGCAGCACTAGGTAAGTAACTAAGGCAGCTGCAGTTGGTTGGTTGGTTGATTATGTCGACTCATAGTGACCCTGTACAGGGTTTCTGAGGCTGTAAATCTTTACGGGAGCAGAACGCCTCATCTTTCTCTCGCCAAACAGCTGGTAGTTTCGAACTGCTGAACTTGCGGTTTGCAGCCCGATTCGTAACCACTACGCTACCAGAGCTCCTTAAGACAGATACAGTAGGGACACCCAAATCTAGTCTAGGAGCATCAGGGAAGTTTTCCAGGAAGCAATAATTTCCAAGTGAAGAGCAGATGAATAAAAATAAAAGGAGTCACCTAAGTTTGTCAAAAATTCAGTTATGAGGCAACTGCAAAGAAAGTCAAGGTGAGGGGGAGGCAGGTTGGGGGACTCTATCAAGGGCATTATTGTTGTTATTATTGGTTAGTGTTGAGGAGGTTCCAACTCAGGATGACCCTGTATCGGATTTCTGAGGAGTGACTGGTGAGTTGGAACCTTGCAGTTCCAACTGACCTTGCAGTCCAGTGCTTATCATACATACCAGGACCCAAAGGCATTATGGACCAGAGTGAAGGCTCAGACTTGATCCTGAGGGCAATGGAGCACCATAGAGGGTCTAAGGAGAAAGTGGTATCTTTCATTTCCCAGTTCTGAGATCCCTTAGGATCTCACTGTAAAGGATGTACCAAAAGGGACAGGTACACTGCACATACCAGTGAGGAGAATTTTTGAAGGGACTGAGCTATCAAGTCTAAACCTCTGAAAGTTTTGACCTGAAAAGTAATTTGAGAAGACTCCTTAAAGAACACCCTGGTACAGAGTAAAGCAATAGAGGATCAGTGGTCTTTGTGTGAAAGCAAAAAATCAGTAGCCAGGGAAGAGGGTGGACTGAGGGAGAGGTAGGGCATTTTCTTCATAGTGCTAGTAAATGAGCATAAGGGAATTCTAGGAACCCTTCCCCAACACCCAAGGACTTTAGCTAGTAACAAGGACGTGCCCCTTGTCTCTTGTTGGGTCTCAGACTCCCTAGTTTGCAGGAACTGGCAAGATTCAGGTGAAAAAGAATAAAAACTCAGTAGGAAGCTACCTGCTCCCCTTCAGGTGAACGTGTGGCAGAGGCAGAGTAGTTCTCCCATCCATTTCCAAGTAAAGATTCAGAGTGTGTCTGGTTTTCCCACAGTCTGGAGGGCCCGTGGTCTTTGGAAGGGTGCCTCAAGGGCCAGGTCTGGAGCATGTCTGGTGGCTTCCTCAGGAAGAAAACAGCCTCTGGAAAGAAGAGATGAGAGACTGAAGGAGAGTGAAGTGGTCACTAGGTTACTGCCCCATTCTGACATTCATTACAAACACACAAAATACATGCTTCGAGTTGCTGGAAACTAGAGGGTCACATCTGAAAGTGGGGAGTAGAATTGAGCTGGAGAATCCCGGAGAGGAGAGATGGGCTGGGTCCTGAAAGTGCATGTCAGGGTCCCATGGCCTTGAGGGAAGTTGCCATAGAGGGCCCTCAGACCCTCAGCAGCCTTTTCTATTGGCATACCTTCAGCTTGGCCACCCCTAACACCTCTACCAGCCTCCCTCAGACCCTTCTGCAATTGGGCTCAACACGCAGGTTATTAGCTCTCCAGAGACTTTCTCTCTCAGTCCCGCGGCTGGTGTGTCTTTCCGCGACCTTGTCTCTCTGTGACTGTCCCTCTGTATGTCTGTCTCACTATTACTGCCCCTGTTTTGTCTCGTTCCTCTCCCTGTCCCCTTTGTAATCTCTGTTCCGTCCATGTCTCATCTCTCTCTCATCTCTGGCTCCATACCTGTCTCATACTCTTTCTGTGTTTCTATGCCCATGTCCACCTCGGTCCCCATCTCTTTCCCCTTCTCTCTCTGTTCCAGGCTCCATCCCTGTCTTTCTCTTGTCCAGGTTTCACCCTTATCTCCTCCTCTGTCTTTTTCTCTTCCTTGCTCCATCTCCTTATCTGTATATCTCTTGTCCACGTTTCTTCCTTGTCTCCATCTGTGTACCTGTATCTCTCTTGCCCTTGTCTCATCACTGTTTCTTTCCCTTCTCTCCGTCTCCAGCTCCTCTCTTCATCCACGTCCCCTCCCCATTCCATCCTAGGCGCCGTCTCTTCCTTGTTCTTGTCTCCATCCCTTCTCCTGGGCCAGCCTCCTCGGTCCCCGCCGGGATGGGACCTCGCTGGGGGGCGGAGCCGAGGGGCCGGACTGGATAACTCAGTTATCTAGACGAATTGAATTAACTTCTTCACACGATCGACGCGAGGCCTCTTTTCCGCCGGGTCGCAGGTGGGGAGGCCCAAGAAAGGGGTCGGGACCCTCGGGTCTGGCATGATGTGTAGAGACCGATGGTCTAGTCTGGATTGGAGCAGAATGGTGACTCTGGGGATAGGGCCCCGCTCAGCCCCACCCCGGCCCGCCCCGCCCCGCCCCGCACCACCGGAGACCTAAGAGGGCGGCAGAGCCCCTTGGGGTGGGGGTCGGGGGCGGCTGGGGGCGGGGCCTTGGCAGCCCAGGCCCCGCCCCCTCCGCGGGGTCCTGCGCGTTAAAAGGCGCGCGGGCCGGGCCGGTCTGCACTTGCGTTACACCCGGGCAGAGTGCGGCCGCGACGGGGCGGGCGAACTTGCGGGCGCTCAGAGCTGGCCTCGCGTCCTCAGCGCAGGCTCCTGGGCCCCTATCCCGACCCCCACCAAGACCGGGATCCAGACCCCGACCCAACCCCGCCCAGCCCGGCCCCTGCCCCCCCGGGCCAATGGACTACTCCTACCTCAATTCGTACGACTCGTGTGTGGCGGCCATGGAGGCGTCCGCCTACGGCGACTTCGGCGCCTGCAGCCAGCCAGGCGGCTTCCAGTACAGCCCCCTGCGACCCGCCTTCCCCGCTGCGGGGCCGCCTTGCCCCGCTCTCGGCTCCTCCAACTGCGCGCTTGGAGCCCTCCGCGACCACCAGCCCGCGCCCTACTCAGCAGGTGAGCACAACCCCGGTCCAACCCTCCTTACAAATTCATTTGGACCCACCAGCCCATGCCCTACTTAGCAGGTGGCTGGGACTGTTTCCTACCGCCGCCCCTATCCTTGCTTTGGCCAGACCCTCCACGCCTCGCGGGACCCCTAGTTCCTTCCCCTATTCAACAGGGTTCCCCTCGACAGGATCAGCCCCAGCCTCTCATCCTTCCCCGTACCTCTTTCCCTCTCCTGTGCCCTACAGGTCAATGGAATAAATCCCCGGTGTAGAGCCAACCCTGAGCCCCTCACCACGCCCGCCCGCCACTCCCCACCTGCAAAGATTGACCACAAATCCCTCCATCCCTGGTATCCTCGGGAGAGGCTCCCAGCTCATCCCAATCAGACCCCCACCACCCTTATCACCTTCACCCTACACTCTGGGAGACCACCAGTTAGGACCTCTGCAGCAGTTGAGCTGTCCAGATGGGAACCTTCCTAGAGCCTCTGCGCCCTCAGGCCGCTCCTGCCATCCCTACCCTGTCTTGGCCCCATCCCACTGAGGCTGAAACTCTCATGTGCCATCCTAACCAAAACCCTGGCCATGACTTACTCTACAGAAAATGGGGACCAGATCCTTAAAACCAATTACATTTCCTCATTCTCCTTGGAGACTTTCCCAGCTAGAGCCCTGCAGAACCAATTTGCAGCTCCTGAAGCCCCCATATCCCTTGATCCAAATCCCCATCTTGACTTAACCCTCATCCTAATGAAGCCTTAAGCTATCTCCAGTTCTTTGGTTAGAGAGTTCCAGCCTGCCCCACCCAATATCCTTTCCTCTTGGGAAGACCAGCTGGACCCAGGGAAAAAACTAGGGTAGGTCAGGCTGGGAGTGAGATAGAGACCTGAATTTGGAGAGATGAGAACCAGAAAGATAGGGGCAGAGACTAAAACAACAGGGATGGCAATACTGGGGAGCCTGGGACACATAGGGATCAGGATTGGAGAGATGTGAGCAGAGATGGAAAAATTTGGGAGCCTGGAAGAAATGAGGACCAAGGACTGGGGAGATAGAGATAAGAACAAGCTAATAGCAAAAGGAATTATAGGGGGTGGAGACCAAGAAAAACTAGAGACAGAGATGAGGAAGATGAAAGGAATGGATTACTGGAGACAAGAATTAGGAAAGATGGGGATTTGGGGAAATGGGACATAGATGGAGATTGGGGACCCCTAGAAAATATAGAGACATATGGGAGTTGGAGATAGAGATTGGGAGTGTCAGAAACACTATTGATGGGGCAATGGGGACTGGAATGGAAATTGGGAAGAGAGAAGGGGTGGGGCAGCTTTTGGGTGATGGGAGGCAGAGAGAAGAACCTGGGAGGAAGATGAAGGATGAAAGGAAGGTGGATGAACCTGAATGGGGAGAAAAAAAGATCCCTTCTTAATGGACACAAAGAGAAGGAAGGTCCAGAAGGGGAGATGAAGAGGGAGTACCTGGAGAAAAATGAGAACCAAGGATAGGAGTTTGATAGACCTGGGAAGGAGGCAGATGGAGGGCAAGGTGGTGGTGATGTTGTGCCATGAAATCAGTTCAGATGCATAGCAACCCTGTATAGGGTTTCTAAGACTGTAAATCTCTACAGGAGCAAAAAGCCTAATTTTTTTTCCTGAGGAGCAGCTGGTAGATTCAAACTGTTGACCTTGTGTAGGGCAAAGTGTTGTTAAATGCCTCTGAGAGTTGGTTCCAATACATAAGACCTTGTATAGGGTTTCTGAGGAGCCGCTGGTGAATTTGAATCGCCAGCTTTAAGATTCAAACTGGCTTTGATGTCCATTGCTTATCCTACTGGCAGGTTGTTGTTGTTGTTAAGTGCTGTCGAGTCGGTTCTGACCCATAGCAACCCTGTATAGCGTTTCCAAGGTGCGGCTGATGAGCTTGAGCCTTTCTGATCAAAACGGCTTTACAGTCCAGCACATTAACCCACAGCGCCACACTAGGACTCCACTGGCAAGGTTGTTGTTGTTGTGAAGTGCTGTCCAGTCGGTTCCGACCCATAGCGACCCTGTATAGGGTTTTCGAGAAGCAGCTGGTGAGCTTGAACCGCTGGCTGACCTTGCAGTTCAAATGGCTTTGCAGTCTGGTGCATTAACCCACAGTGCCACTGGCAAGGTAGAGGGGGCCAAAATTTGTATATGCAGAGAACCCATGGCAGGGTTGAAAGTAGTCTGGGAATCTCAATGGCCAGAGGCCCAAGACTGGCTAACTGGGAGACTGGATCTTGATCCTGATCAAGACTCAACAGACAGCAAGGGTGGATAGAGCAAGACCTGAAATGTGTATGTGTGTGGGGTGGTGGAGGTGGTGATAGGAAGGCGCACCAGGAACTGAAGGGAGAGAGATCAGAAAGACAGGTGGACTGGCTGGGAGTGGACGGATCAGGGCGAGAGGCCTACTACTGGTCTGGAAGATCGGAATTTTGGTTCTCTCGCCTGTGTCCGGCTCGCCTTCGCTTGAACTGCTTTGTTGAGCCCCAACTCAGGGCCATCTGCCTGAGGCTGAGAGGAGGTGACCTAGGGGCCAGGCCAGTTCTGGGGCTGATGGGGAAGGGGCGGTGTCCATTCCCCAACCATCCCGGGAAGGACCCAGGGGCCGAGCTTAGCCCCTCACGTCCCCCATCCACGTTGCTCCCTCCTGCACACACTCGTAGTGCCCTACAAGTTCTTCCCGGAGCCGTCGGGCCTGCATGAGAAGCGCAAGCAGCGGCGCATCCGCACCACGTTCACGAGCGCGCAGCTCAAGGAGCTGGAGCGCGTCTTTGCCGAGACCCACTACCCCGACATTTACACGCGCGAGGAGCTGGCACTTAAGATTGATCTCACCGAGGCTCGCGTGCAGGTGCGTTCACACACGCCTGTGTTACTGGAAATTGGTGGGGGTGGGAGGTGGGGGGAATGGCAGTTTAGTATCGATGTCTGCAGCGCTTACAGGACAGGGGGCCCGCTCCCTCAGACAAGTGCGACTTGGAGGAGGGATCTCAGGACCAGCGACTAGGAAGCAGTTCGGGACGGATGTCCGGCAGAGTCTAGCAGTTCAGGCCCCACGTTAGTTCACTTAGATTTCCCCTCAGTCTCCCTCCGTAGTGCAGACATGCTTGTGAAGTCAAGACGCGGGCTAGGGGGAACCCTAGGCAACCGCAGAACCGAGCCCGGAGGGGGCATGCCGATCAGCGCCTTCAGGCCCCCTCCTTAGTTTTGTTATGAAACCCCTGAGCCCTGGAGACTGGACTTAGGGTAGGCACAGAGCCAAGGGGAGCTAGACCAGACTTGTGTATCTGTACAAATCCGGAGTACAGGAGTGTGATTGCACTGGAGGTCTGGGGGCGGAGGAGGGTGTCTGAGTTCCTCCTGGGACCCTAACCTTCTCTCCAGCGCCCTGGGAACTCCCGCAGCTTTCTAAAAGAGAGTATCTAAGGGCAGGGCTGAGGATGAGGAGGAAAGAGACGGAGTCTCATCCAAAGACCAAGAACACTGAGGCAGCAGGATCTGCCTATGAGCAGCTCGAAACGGGGAAGGGACAACTGGATCAGGGGAGAGGAGTAGAAACGAGGAGGGCATCGGCTAGTGGGAAAGGGTTGTGACTCCCCTCCTCCGGTAGAGACAGCCTCGATCCAGGCTCGATCCATTCGGACGGAGGTCCCACCCAGGGCTTGTGGTCCGAGGCTGACCCCTTGTGCTCTCGACTTTTGGCCCGGCTAATGGGTCCCTGTGCCCGCAGGTATGGTTCCAGAACCGCCGGGCCAAGTTTCGCAAACAGGAGCGCGCGGCCAGCGCCAAGGGAGCAGCGGGCTCGGCGGGCACCAAAAAGGGCGAGGCGCGCTGCTCGTCCGAGGACGATGACTCCAAGGAGTCCACGTGCAGCCCCACGCCCGACAGTACCGCGTCGCTGCCGCCACCGCCTGCGCCCGGCCTTGCCAGCCCGCGCCTGAGCCCCAGCCCGCTACCAGCCGCCCTGGGCTCTGGACCTGGGCCGGGGCCACAGCCTCTCAAGGGTCCGTTGTGGGCCGGCGTGACTGGCGGTGGGGGCGGCGGGCCTGGCGCGGGGGCGGCCGAGTTGCTTAAGGCCTGGCAACCCACGGAGCCAGGACCCGGGCCTTTCTCGGGGGTTCTGTCCTCCTTTCACCGGAAACCCGGCCCCGCCCTTAAGACCAATCTATTCTAGCCTCGTGACTCTGGAGCCTCCCGGCCAACCCTCAGAGACGCCCTTGTCTCGACAGGACCTGACTTGGTCCCTCCCCAAACCGGCTGGCTGCCTGGGAGACCCTATCCGTCCCCAACCCCACTGTTTGTCCCCTAGGTGTACTCTCCCTAGCTTTGGAGACAAGTTAGGGCCCCTCTCGTCCTCACCCACCCCACCCAGCAAAGCCGGATACTTTTCACTGGGACACCTTCCAGGATCGCCTGGAACCCCTTCTAGCTTGACCTTTCTTGGAACCGGAATCAAATAACACCCGTCTCTAACACTGAGGGTCCTCAAGGAGAAGTGGCCCGCCCTCTCCCTTGGGGCTTTACAGCCCGCTGGGTCACACCTCTGTGCTTGCTGTTCCCTCCCTCGGACCCACAAATACCGGTAGTCGTTGGCATGGTTGTGGCCCAGAGTCCCACTGCCAATTCGTCCCTCATGTGCCCCCTTCCCTCCCCAGCCAGTCCAGCTGCAGTCTGGTACAGAAGACAGGCTGGTCAGAGAGGTGGACAGCTACCCAGGCAAAGGACAGAGGAGTTTCCCTTTATCCTGAGTTTTGTTTCCTTTGAAAGATTTGTCTGTAATTTATTGAGGTGAGTTCTGCTCAATCTAAATAAAACTTAATTTATTGAAGACATCACGCCAGCAGCCTGAGTCCCAGGATGACATGAATAGGACGGCTGTGAGAGACTTGTCCCCAGTTGTGATCTGCGAGGAACCTCGGAACTCAGCCAGCCATGCTTCACCAGCACAGGGCAGGATAGACCAGGCGGCAGTGAGAACTAAACAAACTGCCACTCTATGGCTGAGATACTGCTCTTCTAACCCACCCCAATAATATTAAGGTGCCCTCCCTCCCCAAACCCACACAGAAAGTTTAAATAAACCTCAGCCCGGTCGTCGGGCTGTTCCTTCATTTCCGGACAGACACTCCCAACGTCGGGAATTAGGGAGACGTACTAGCTGAGCCTCTGGTTCAGGCTCTGTGGATGGCAGCAGGAACAGAGGTGGAAGTAGGGCCCAGACATACCCAACTGGGCCCCATGGTCATCCCTAGAACTGGAAAGAGGGGTCCAGAAAGGGAGGACACCACCAAAGTAACCCAGGCCTGTGGTAACCGTGGCAACTGAGGTCTGGAGCCCTGTGCCTAAAAGGTGGGGGCTGGATGTCCCAATTTGGACGCTCCAACTAATTAGGATGTAGGGAAAGCGGCTCCCCAATAAATAGGCAGAAAGAGGCACTGCCCCGCGCAAGGCTCTTTAAGACCCCAGGGCTACAGCTGGGTCTTCGGGAGCCGGGGCGGAGGCGGGAGAACTCCGCAGTTTTGCGCAGCCACCTCCATCATTTGCTGAACTGCAAGGTGTCCAGAAGAAGGCGCTTGTGAGCCGGGTCCTGCACCCCAGCCTCCTCCAGGTCTTCCTCGGTGATGTCGCTGTAGTAACAGTAGGCTAGGTGGTCAGCGAACTGGTCCCAAAAGGCCCGTAGCCCCGCCCCCGGGTCCAGCCCCACCCCATCCGCCTCGAGCCCCGCCCCCACCTGAGAAACTCCAGGTCGTCCCAGCCATTGTGCACCAGGCCCTCCTCATAGCGCTCCAAGCCGATGGCCCGCAGCCAGGCGCCCATGCCCGCCTCGCCCAGCCCGCTGGCCCGCCCGCCCTGCGGGCAAGAAGCCTGAGGGAATAGGGGGTGTCAGCGGGAGCAAGAGAGCGCCCACATACACAGACAGAGGCACCTGCAGACAGCCACATTCCACTGCATGCTCTGGAAAAGGGAGGTATGGGCTGGCATCAATTCTTGGGTCCTACATGCCCCAGTACCCCTTTCAGGGCAGAGGGGGCACTACGAGTGCTGTGTAGTGGAGGGATTACCACAAACGGTGAACGTGCACACACACCTCAGGTATTCACTGCCAGCCACCCCTGGCCCACACACCTCCTCTGCTAGGTCTTCCTGGATGCTCTCTCGAATGCGGGGTGGAGGGAAGCTGAGGGGTCGGCCAAAGTCGGAGGCCAGACCTCGGGGTGGCTGCAACTCCAGGGAGCTGGGTAGGAGTGCTGAGCGGCCAGGCCCACCAGGGGCGTAGTCTACCTCACTTAGTGTCTTGGCCATCTGCAGCACAGAGCAGGAACGGTCATCCCCACTGGTTACCTCCCCCAGGAATGTGCTGGCAGACGAAGGACCTGGGGGCAGCGGGGGCCTTGGATGGGCCTTGGGAGGAGGTGGGCCCCTGGCCTCACCCCCACTGCGAACCCGGACCACTGGCCCTGGCAGAGGATCCAGGCTGACGGGCAGAAAGATGGCTGAGTCTGGCAGTGGTGGGGGTGGAAAGTCTGGAGGGGGCAATGTGCCCCCTGACTCCTCGTCTGATGAGCTCCCTTCTCCCACACGGGATGGCCTGTGGCGTCCGAGCTGTGGAGCAGGCACTGTGATGACTACTTTGTTCTTGGTGGCAGGTAGGACAGGGGCCCTGGCAGACGAGGGTGGCTCCGGGGGCAGCAGCTGGTGCGGGACCCCCTCAAGGACGTAGTAGGCAGGATTATTGAAGCTGTTCTTGGGTGGGGGCACTGCAACTCCTTCTGGCTCTGGAGCCCCCTCTGGCTTCAACCTGGGTTTCACAGCAGAATAACTAAGTCAGGACCCAGAAACCCAACAGGAAAGCACAGTTTCAATGAAGAACAAGAGATTTGGGCCCTATGCGTGTGGCCTTGAGAAACTCACTTTCCCTCCATGGTCCTTGGTTTCCACAACTCTAAACTTTGGAAGGGAGGGAGTTAAACAGATGAACCCAAAACTCTCTTGCCTCACATCCTAAGAATCTCAGAATTTTTGATTGTCTGTGAAAGTCTTACTACTGAATGAAACCTGAACTCAAGGGTGAAAACAGAGACGCCAGGCAGCAGGGCAATACAGGTCTTTAGTGAGAATGACCAGTATTGAGGTACCTTGAGGCCTATCCACTGAGGAAGCCTAGTCTAGTATTCAGGTGAGTTTTATTCAAGCCTGGGCATTAAACCAAGGTGACTGATGATAACTGATGATGAGTGAATGAGCACCAAGGAGTTTTTATTTAAGTTCAAGCAACAGCTGCCTATCATTAGAAAGCAAGCCTCACTTTCCCAAAGTATGGTCCACAGAACACTAGTTCCACAGGAATGTTAATAGTTACTAATGTGGGGGAAAAGTTCCCTGGCCCCTTAAGTCTGGGAAACTATATTAAACAGCTGGAAAAAAGGTTTCCTTCCTGGAGACACACTCAGCTTTTGAAAATACTAATGGTACACTTTGCATATCTAAGAAAAGAATCTAGCAAGAAGCATTTCCCAAATGCATGTAAGCTCAAATCCATTCTTAGTGGTCATCTTGTAAACAGTGTTCTAAAAAACACACCCTGCTAAATCCCATGCTCCCTACGTGCCTTCTCCAGAGGCTCCAGCTAAGTCTGTTCACGCGGCGGGAACTGTTTAAAACTATTTCTAATTCAATTTTTTCAAGACAAGATTGAGAGGAAAGGCTGACTGCGCTTCCTTTGACTAAGGGAGCCACACCTAAGGGAGCCCAGCTGGCCAAGAGTGGCCATGGACCTAGGACGGCAAAGTTCCCAATCAGTAGCTGCTCACCAGGCTCGTCCTGAGAGCCAAACATAGCAATGGCTAAAGTGGGGCGATGACAGAGCCTTGAGAGGGGATGGATGACAGGTTCCTCCTCTTACCTGGGAGTCAAAGGATCCTCCCGGGGAACTGCTCGGGGTGGGGCTGGGGGCCTCCCAGTTGGTGGTGGTTTTTCCGGTTCTTCAAATAACTTGGACAATTGGCAGGAGGCCTCATGAGGGGCTGGCTTGCGACTCCCAGACCTATCATGAACGCACAGGTAAAGAACGATGAAGTGGGGGCTGACCAAAGGCTCTCAGGCACTTATCACCTGGCACCACCCCAAACTCACCTGGGCTCCTGGCTGCCCCGGGACACCGATGGTGCTTTGCTCTTTGCTCCTGCCTCATCTTTATCAATGCTGATCCACTCTGGGGATAGCAGAAGGGAGGCTCAATACCCACCAGGCCTGCCAGCCCCTTTCCAGCTACTGGAGCAAGCCCACTCCCAGCTGTGGCTGTAGACCTTCCAAGCATTCCAGAGATTCCAACATGGCCCCCAAGGCCTTCTCCTCCTAGGCCTGCCCTGGTCTCCACACCACCCATCTCATGCCCAAAAGCTTCCCCAGTGGAGCCCTCACCATAAAGCCGCTCACGGGTGCCTAGGCGCTCTGTGGGCACCCGCACCTTCATGGAGCCACGGATGTTGCCTGTCTCCTCACCGCGGTGGGACAGGAAGGTCAGGAACTGCTGAGCGGTGCTGCCAATCATGGACTTGAGAGCAACCACACACTCCCCTGAAGGGGAATGGAGCAGACCAGCAAATTGCTAAACTTTTCTAGGCCCCTGCCCTGCTTCCTGCAGCCTTGGTGCCCCTTGCCCCTCACCATAAGATTCATAGCCATCCATGGACTTGACTGTGAGCAGTAGATGCTGGTCCTGCAGGTACTCAATGTCAGCAAGAATAGGCTTCAGCTAGGGATCAGAGAAACCCATTAAGGAACAAATCCCAAACACTCCCTGCTATCCCTCTCATGTGCTGTCCTGACATAACTTAGCCCTGCCCTCCGGCTCCTCCACGCTCACTCACATGGAGCTCTTAAAGATCCCAAATCCTTTATGTGGAAAACACAACCCTGCATGCAAGCCCTTAACAGTACTGGAGCTAGTTAATTTTCTGCACTCTCAGTAGCCAACACAGGACCTGACATTTAGCAAAGGCTCTGAAAGTATTTACTGAAATGAACGAATGAACTGCAACTTGGTCAGATACATAAGCAAATACTGGCGAGTGTCCTTAGCCTCATTCACGCCCAGCCAAACAGACACACACACACACACAAGAGCAGGCAAAGGCTCCACTGGGTCCCACCCTCCTGCAGCAGGTTCCTGCATACACCCTGCCACCTGCCTTTCTGTGCCAACATTCACAACCCCAAGCCCTGCTCACAGCTCACCGTGGGCAGCTGGCGTGAGGACCACTGCACCTTGAGGAAGTTGATATTGTCACTGCTTTGGGCATCATTCTCAAAGCTCTTCTTGTATTCTGGTGGGGAGATGACACCAAACTAAATGCCAGCTCCATCCCTCCCTTTGGCTGCTCTGGTGCCCTCTGACCTCCCCCCAACCCTCCGCTTGGCTCTGTCTCTGACCTTCTA